AGTACATTTTTGACTGTGTATTTGTACTTTTACTTAAGTACATTTTTTGAGTACTTTCTCCACCACTGGCCTTCAGATCCACTGAAAGCCGCTCACAGCATTGTTCGCTCTGCTCATCGCAATAAAAACGCATTACAGAGCGCCCATTGGTCCAGGCTGGAGCGGACCGACATCTGATTGGATAATGAAGACCATCAACTGAGAGCAATAAAAAAATAGGCATTTTGTAATGGAAGAGGGTTGTAGATTACATAATAACTATCCAAAGCCCGATTAGTAACAGTGTTGTGCAATTCTCCTTCTGACAAATAGATTTCCCGTATTTGTAGATCTAGATATTTAGAAAGCGTGACTTTTAATAATAGATTAATACATTGGACGCTTTTTTTGTTTGTTTTGTTTTACACCTATTCTTTTCACTACTGGTGGACTGATATTAGCCTATAGCTTACACTTATTGTGGACTCTCTCTCATTACATAATACATTAATGTAATAAAAAAAAATTATCTTAATTTTTTTACAGTAACTCCCAACCCTTCTATCAGGCACCAACCATACAGTTTCACCAGCATTGAGATTTTGTCCTCTTTAGAAGCTTTTAGCCCTTCGTCCGTTTTAAGCTAGCTTTAACAACCAGCTAAGCTAGCTAATACTAGTTCTCCATTTTCATTATAACAGCCAATTTATACATTTCTCAGGCAACAAAACCAGCAAAAACAAACCCTCAGCTTGACTCTGCCACCACTAAGATTGACAGCTGATGCAGTATTCATCTTAAGCTTCCCTGTGACTCCTGGAAGTTTTCCTGTCATTGTGGGATTTTTTTGTCCCCCCTAACTACATCAATGTGCTCCATTTAGCTTTCCAATGTGGGTTGTTTCAAATTTCAGCCAAGTTTTAAGTTTGGAGCTCGAATGGACCGTATCAACATTTTCCTCGAACCAAGAACTAAAATGTTGATAGTTGTGCATCTAAAGCTAAAACCCAAATATTATCAAGTGCACAATAATCTTATGGTAACTCACTGGTTCTATGAGTTGCCATAATAACTCATAGACCCAATGAGTTCTATGAGTTATCTGATAGATCTCTACAAAGCAGAGATCTGTCAGCTCTGCTTTGTAGTTGGCATGTCTTTGAAGACCTCACACAGCTGTGGGTATTTTCACATTCACCTGCAGACAGTGTTGGAGGTTAATTACGGCCCTTTAATCCGCTCAGCATCCAGGCTGTAGTGACTAAAAGTAATTAGAAATTTCTGAGTTTGCAAGACATCCACTGAAACCCCCAAATGTATGTAAATCCTGTAAGACTGATTCAATAGCACATTTAAAAAAAATGTATCACAGACATGAGCATCTTCTAATGTTCTGTGGTAGATTTATCCTCTAAAAATATTTGACCCTGAGGTTTTGCATATTTTCAAAATCTTAGCAGAAACAAAAACAATCAGGATGACAGTGTCATGATCCGTGTTTTTCTGTTTAGTTATTTTGGGATTTTTCTGTGTTTAGTCCTGTTTCCCTGAGTCTCTGTTTTGTCCTGTCAGCCCTTGATTTTTCCCGGGTGTGTCTCGTTCCCTTGATTACCCCCGTAAGTCCACCTGTTGTCTCTGTCTCTTGTGGGGTTCTTGTCTAACATATGTCATATGTCATTTGTCTGCCTACCATCACAGTAGAACTGTAAAGTCCTGTGTTGGTTTAGCTCTCTTTTTCAGTTCTTAGTTTTTCAGTTGCTACCGGTAATTAGCTGTGTGCTAACTCTCTGTTGTGCTGCTGCCTGTTGAGCTTTCTTCATAAAATCCATCATCATCTTTATCACAACCTGGGTCTCTGTGTCTCTCCTCACCACCTCGCAACCACCAGACCTGACAGACAGAGGAACCAAGCATTGTAGTCCTAAACAGTTTTCTGCAAGAAGGAGACCCTCCCCATTATTCTTCAGTCTAATAAAAACATAATTTTATAAATATTTGATTTCTCAGAGCAAAGGAGGAAACATGCAAGCTAATTGCAGATTACTAATAAACAGTTTGAGGTGGAGCTCTATGTTTACTCTGATAAGGCCGAAAGATAAAGCGACAACTTTTTATTGAATAGAATCATTCCTGGCTATTAGGAAGCTTTCTTTACAGTTTAAACAAGAGCAAACATCCACAAGGACAATACCCTGTTTTCAGAAGCAAAGCAAAATAAACCAGTTATATGAGGCGATATTTGTTTATGTGCATAAAATCCTCCTGGACTCCTGCCAGACGACACGCCAACATAAAAACCTCCCTTTCAGCTCTGACAGAAAGCTGCAGCTTGTTGATGTCAGTCAGAAGTGAACGTGACTGACATTCAGACGGCTTGCATTCATCACAGCGGAAAAATAACCGCTAACATTTGGTAAATAAACTATTGTTTCTATTTCAGGCTGGTGCTACTACAGCCAGTCAACCTGCGATCATCCGTGCAGCGGTGAGTTTTTCCAGAAGTTAAGGTAAAATGATGACTCATTTTTAAAGGAAAACGCGTGATCGCGATTTGACAAATAAATTCCATTGTTTAACATTTTTAGAATTTGGTTAGGACTTGTTTAAATCAGGCAAAAAAAAAAGTACACAGGGCCTCTTATCTATCAGACATTTATAAATAAAGTATTGAAACATATTTTTAAACAGATGGTTTAAACAAATGTTAAAACTGAGGTCATTTGTTATTATTCCATTGAATTTCTTCAGACTATTTTTATCATGTTGAGATAATTTGGCAAGATTCTGACTCACATGGTTACAATAACATCACAAGCAAAGGAAAACAACAAAAAAGCCTATAATTAACTACTAATGTGGATGATTAAGACAAAAAAGCAGTTTTGAAATCATTTTAGCCTAAATCTAAACCATGACAATGATTTCCTGCTTATATCAATCTGTCCTCTATAAATGTTTACATTTTGGAATTGCCTTTTGCCCTGTTATAAGCATATTTCTGAAATAAAAAAAAAATGGATCCACATGATCATCACTACAAAAGTCAAACCAATGTATTGCTTAATGAAATGCAGAGAAGAACAAAGGACCAGTTGATCATCCGTGCGGGACTCCTAATCTGACGGTTGTGAAACAAATTGATGGTCATCTCCTCAAACATCTCCTCAAGTCATCACTGGTGTTCCTCCTGTTTCAGTACCAGAGAAGTGGCCCGGCGGCTACATGGACTGTGGAGGAAAATCCCAGTCACCCATCAATATCGTCACCAGGAAGACGGTGAAAGATGAGCGCCTGACTCCTATTGAGTTCAAAAACTACCAGCAGACCTTCAAAAATTCTATCACCAACAACGGCCACTCGGGTGAGCGCAACGTCAAGTGACCTTCGAAAGCTTTGAAGGTGTTTGTTCTCATGCTGTGTCTGTTCCAGTAAAAGTCAACATTCCTATAACCTGCACCATCTCGGGCGGAGACCTGTCGACCACATACAAGGCCGTGCAGTTTCACCTGCACTGGGGTAAAGATGGCGGGCCCGGCTCTGAACACACCGTCGACGGGGAGCAGTACCCCATGGAGGTAACAGACCACCAGATAAATGTATAAAACCCTAGCTTGGACATCAGCTGAACTATGAACTTTACATTGATGGCAGTAAACTTTCTTTTTCAGTTGCATATCGTTCACATGAAGAGCAATTATGCTGACCTGGCAACAGCCCTGCGAGATCCAAACGGGGTCGCAGTTCTTGGGTTTTTCTATGAGGTAATTCTGCTTAACCGTCTTTTATAGTTTGCTCACACTTTTTACAATAAGACACATGTCACATGTCTTTCTGTTTGTGTTAAGGTGTCCAAGAGTCCAAACCGAATGTACGACACCATCATTAGTGGGGTGGAAAGTGTCGCATCCAAAAGTAGGTGTTCAAAGTTTCTGCACTAATTCCAAAACCTTGGTTGCGTGTAGCTGTGGGGCTACCATCGCGGTGTTTGTGTTTTCAGATGTGAGCTTCTCTCTGCCCTCCATCTCCCTGGCACAGCTGATCCCTCCTGAGCAGAAACTGACTTCCTACTACCGCTACAAGGGTTCCCTGACCACCCCGCCGTGTTCTGAGTCTGTGGTCTGGACTGTGTTCGAAACCCCTATCCCTCTGAGCATGGACCAGGTTAGAACAAGAGAGATGGCATTTTAGCAAATGCTTTTGAGTCTTTTTCCACAATCTGCAGTTCAACATTTGCATCAATCTTCTCTTGCAGATGAAAGCTTTCTCCAAGGTCCAGTTCTACGACGGCAAGTCGATGGCGAACAACTTCAGGCCTGTCCAGCCCCTCAACGGCCGGCTGGTGTACCGCTCAGCAGGCGCCACGCTCTGGGTCAGCTCAGCCCTCCTTGCTGCTGCCCTCACAACGGCACTGGGGCTGTCCCAGCCCAACTAACAAGCGAGTCGTCCCATGCTGCACTGCGACATTGATAAGACCCAACAGATCTGCGCCGGTCCTCAGCTGAGACTCCAACGTAGTTCTGACGTGTTTGCAAAAAGACAATGGACCACGTCGTAGTGTAGGGATTGCTCAAATGGTGTTTCCCCCCTTGTGACCCAAATGACAGAGGCGTGTTAGAAACGCCTCAAGGAAGGTGACGTAAGGGTTCAATCAGCATCCGTGCATGTAGTAGTGAAGTAGTATCTCTTATGAATGTGCCATAAATCAAGTTACTGGGAAATCTACCTGGGTAATCAAACTCAACACTTAATTATAGGCTTTTTTGGACTGGATTTTGATTTTTTCTTTGAAGCTCTGTACTAAGAACCAGTGCACGCACACATACACACACACACACACACACACACACACACACGCTCCCTCTCTCTCTTTTCACAACTTTAGTTTTTATGTTAACTCATCCACCTTGTCCAATGTCGGGTAAATTTAGTATCTGTTAATACCAGTGTGAGTTGCCAATGGTTTATGGGTCAGCCCCATGACTTGGCACATGATGTATTGTTATTAACGGAGCATGTGAAAGGGATGGAGTTATAGTTATATATAGACCGAGTCGTAAAAAAAAAAACAACATTGCAATTCAAAGCCAGGCGTCAAAGGAGAATGCAGATCTCATAAAGTACAGCAGGTCACACCTCTGCAGTCGGGTCAAGGCCTCTCAGACCGGTCAGCAGCTCTGTTCTGAACCTGCATGTGAGGGAGGCCTTGCTGTAGCTCACCAGAAACCATGAAGAACAGCTGCATGAAATCCTGAAAGCCTGGCAGACTCCCTCACCACAGAGTCACCTGGGGGACAAAGACACGGATGCTAACATCCCAGGAGTCGAAGATAGTACCAGCCTGCTGTTAAAGACGGATCACAGCCACTTAACCAAGGTTTTTTTATTTATTTGTACAGTTAGTTTTTATGCACATCATATTTGAAGAGCATGACTCTGTATGCTGTGATGTTCCAGATGTTTGAGATAAACTACCTGGCTGCTGGAAGTGGGCTTCCCAAATTCACAAAGTGTTTTCCCAGAACAGGCGCTTCAATTTCACAGGAGCTTGTTTTTCAAAACCACAGTCGTTTCCATGGTTTATATTACCGGCATTCGGATGTATGGATAATTGTTGACAGTGAGTCGCACCCTGCTCAGCTCTTATTTTGTTGTTGTTTTGTTTTGTTGTTGTTTTTTTTCAAGAAAACGTTGCCATGTATAGAGAGGAATATGTGCAATTTGGCAGCGAGAACTGTTGTTACAGTGAGGAAGGATAATCTGTGTATTTTCCATTGCTTCAGAATCCAGCTATATTTCTATGAGGTGTCATTTTACACATATATTTATGTATTGAGTGTGCATATTAAGAGATGCGATGCACAGTTATTGTTATTTATGTATTGCACCATTCATATAGAATGCAAACCTATGTATGAAGCTTGAAACGGTTTATGATCAATCGAGTTTATTTGTACTCTTGAAGTGTTTGAGACTCCAGGTTGTAATGCTTGAAAGTGTCATAGAAAAACAGAATGCTACTGTTGAAAAATAAACTACATGCCTTTTTAAAGACGCCGGCTTCTCTTTGCAAGACCACAAATTGAGCAGTCAGGACCAAACTCTGCGTTACCTCCATCAACGCACTGAAAAAACAAAACAGGTGATTCAACTAAAAAAAAAAAAAAACAAGAGTTAATCTCCTACAAGTAATCAAATTTAGATTATCTGTGTAAATATATTATGTTTATTAAGTTGTCATGTTAAGCAAATGTAAAAAAAAACAGTTTGACAAACTTGAATTGATTGCATGTGACAAATTAACAGTTTTATTAAAAGCTGGAGCTCCATTTTCTTTTTCAGTGTATCTTACTTTTACAACTTTTTCCACATTTTCTCACATTCACATACTTGTAGTATATTTCACTAGTATTTATTTGTAAGGCCTTGTAAAACACACAAAAAAGCACATAATTATGCAGTTGAAAAAAAAGTTTTTGTGAAAAAAAAAGTTCACAAAAATATACCTCAAGTGGGATTTTGTTTTCAGCTCACTAATAGTAATTAATAGTTTTACATTCAATAAATGTGGCTTGGAAGAGCAGCAGGACCAAAAAGATAATTGAAAAGAAGCCATAAAAATATTCCATATGCAGTAAGCCATGAAGAAGACGAATGAAGAATTTGAATTAATATGAGTTACAACAACATTTATTTTCCCTTTGAAATCAATCAAATATTTTTTGAACAAAAAGGAGAAAAGAATAAGACCAAAATGTAACTTTTGCTGAGTATATGACACAAACCTAAGCTTTTCTTCAACAGAGACAAGGAGTGTGTTCTCACACATGATAGTTTGGTTGACTCGATTCGACTGGGGACCAAAATTGCAAACATCTGTTTCATTGTCAGCCAATGAAGCTTGCTTTCACACTGTAACTGTGTCAAATGAACCAAACTCTTGGAAAAACCTGTTGCTCCCCTTCATCTCTTGACCTGTGGTGGCGCTGCAACAAGAACCGCCGAAGGAAACGACAGGAAAACCTCTGAAGAAGAACTGAGCGCAGCGTTCTTCATCATGAAATGTAAACGAAATGGAGAGGCGTCACCAGCGCCATAGAGAGAGACACTGGCGTCACATTTTAGCGGTTGTAGGATTTCTCTTTTGTCGTTGGTAAGAGACTACGAGCTATTTCTCCTTTGCATCCCCTCCTCCCATCATGCTAGCCAACCCCCAGCGCCATCTTTAGGGAGTCAAAAGACTTTTATTGAGCAAACACCGGCGTCCTACAAGAGACCACACACAAAAAGTGAACGAAAGCCTCCTTCATTCTTTTGCAGAGATTTCAGATTCTTCTAGAGTCCTGCATATCTGGCCGTGGCTGCTTGTGATGTTTTAGCTAACAGGAGACTAATCACATCAGACCCTGGATGGAAAATTTCAGAAGTTTGCATTTTTTTACACACAAAAATGTGAAGAATATGATTTGTATTTTTATCCAACCTTGTTGAGATAGGATGGATGTAGGCCCACGATCACTGCTAGCACAGCTGCAAAGTTTTTAGGTGAATGTTTCCACCAGATTTGCACATCTGCACATATATTTTTGACAAACAGGAAAGGTCATGTCACCAATTTGGCAGTATTTCAGATATTTAAAACAAAAACACAAATTGTCTTTGTTGAATGATATGAAATTGTGATGTTGTGATGTTTCTCAGCCATATTGCCCAGCCATATATAGATCACAAATTCAGTGATGGTCTCATCTGATCTCAACGCTTTCTTCCACATGTTTGCCTTGTGGCCCGCTTGGTTTCCTCAAGCAGGAATGGTGTTCTTCTTGCCATATTTCCATAAAGACCAGATTTGAGAAGTACACACCTAATAGTTTTCCTTTTCTCCTACATTGAGATGTGGATCTCTGCATCTTTCTCCCTGGTCTGTTTCCTTCGTTCATTGGTCTTCGTGATGCTAATATTGCTCTCTTAACAAACATCTGAGGCCTTGAGCAGCTGGAATTACATGGAGATTAAATGACACAAAGGTGGACTTCATTTTATGTTTTGGTGACCTCTGAAGGTTCATCTGGATTTTATTGAAGGATAGTAATACAAAATCATGTTTCAATGTTCAGACTTTTATCTAAAAAAACCCTCCTTGTAATCCTTTTCTTGACAACTCGTTAAACATTTAAAAAATACTTGATGTAAATACTTTTGCAAGGCCCTGAAAACCTGTTGACCTTTTCATATTGCTGTCAGCTGCCAGACCCCGAGGTACCTGCCAACTGTGAGGGTCATGGTGCAACCTTAGACAGGAAAATGTTTAGCTCTGATACTTTCCACGTATGTAGCAGCAGCTAGCCAACAACAGATCTTCCCGTTTTACACCACACCCGACTTATCTGGGTCTTACTGCAAGTCGTAATATTGGCGGGAATCTTTCATTGTGGGGCAGGGATCAGACCGATAATTTTACCACTATAAGATGAAGACAATACGTTTAAATTTACCTTCCTAGCATTGTGTGAAGTGGTAAACCTTGTGTCATCTGGCGCCTGAGCTGGTGCAGAACGTCTGCCAATGTGGATTGTTCAAGTTGGCCAATTATTAGTCAAGATTGTGTGCAAAAGCAAGTAGTATGATCAGCGGGTCCTTTGGTAGGTTGTACTTCTTGAGATGCCTGGCATGTTGTGCTATTCTCGACTTCTGGGTACAGAACACATCACACAAAGTCAGTCAAAGAAGAGCAAAAATCATTAAGTTGAATACTAATCCCCAAAAGACATCGAAAGACTAAAGTGATGTGTTAGTCTTCAAACTGATTCCTCGAATGATTTGAGTACCTCAACTATTAAAATTAAAATTTACCTGCCTCGACGCTTCGTTAAATTGTATTTTATTATTTAATGCACCGTGTTCCAGACGGGTCCTTATTGGCGCTGCGCTCTCACTTCCGCCTGAGTTGTTGACGAAAGCTAAGCGTTTAGCAGCATAACGTCCAGTTTTCACGTCCAGCTCGTGGGGATTTTATTGACTGATGATAATGTCCGGGTTTTTGTTGTTTTTCAGCGGACCAATAGACATCCTTAAAATAGCTGGCGCGATGCCTGGAGTACGGCAGCTTTTCTCCTCCCGGAGCTGCTGCCTGGTGGTGGTTCAGAGCGAACGGGGAAGAGCGCTGCAGGTGTATTTATACAGGTGAGCGGATAGGCTGAACACGGCGGGCGGCTGTGCTTTAGATTTTTGTACAACTTTTCTTCAGGTTAACTTAGAAAGTAAGCTCTTACTGTTACAGGTTAATTTTCTAAACTACAGAAAAGTTACTGTTAGCTCAAATGTGAAACATTGGGCTGACGTTGATATCCGATAGTAACACTGCTGTTATGCTAGATTTACCAATGTTTTATTTTATCTCTCTTTTAATACTATTACTCGATTACTAAAATATCCATTTACAACAGCCCTACTTCAAAGTTTAACAAATTAAAGTTTCCATCAGCCGCTAACATCTTTTTTTTTCTGACCATCTCATCTCAGGGCAACATTTTCACAGCTGTTAGCTACAGTGATTAGCATACGTTTCCCATCAGTCACAGCAGGTTACTGCTTATT